ACATTTATATTAGCACATACACCCATATCACAATTTATTACACAACTTTTGTCAACGTTATCTTTATCCGTTTGAATACGTTATAATTCATCATTTTATAACTCTTTCGCCCCCCTCTCTCATCCTTAGATCATACTAGCCGAATGACCCGGGCAACGCCCGTGTTTTACCCGATTGAATGTTTTTATTCAAATACTATTTGTTACAATTATAAATTGGCGCCTTATATAAATGCATATATTAGTTAATAACTATATCCTATGTGCTTTATCTGTCTATGTACTGTTGGCTTCCGTGGGCGTCTCTTACTGGAAAAAAGAAAGAGAGGATTCCATTTAGTTATTAACTAATATATGCATTCATTTAAGGTGCGACCCGCTCCAACACAATAGTTACAAAAACCAAAAAGCGAGTGGGGGGGGGACATGATGGGGGGGGGGTCAAAGGTGGCGTGATCGTAGCCAACTAATAGGAGAGCGCCATTCCAAAAAAAAAAGCAAACGGTGACAGAGATGAAGAATTATTAAGAACGCATGACGCTCGTAACTGTATATATAATAATTACAAAGTTCAACTTCTTCAATATGTGTTAGCGCTTGATGCACTTAAAATAAAGGTGGCCTAAAACCATTTCTTACCGTGAATAGAATGGCCTGGATCACGTAACATCAGATAAAGAGCAAAACCTTGAAAATTTATAACTGGGCGCGTCAAAAATGTGCTTAATAATGCTCGGAATTGAATCATAATCCTTATCAGCATAGGTGCAACTATGAAATCTTGAAATTTTATTGATGTATAGTATTGAAATCATCCGAATATTTAAATATCTCAAGATATTGTTTCAACTTTAACCAAGCTGATTTCATATGGTATATATGGATATAAGTCTATATATATATAATGAGCAGTTTTTTTTATTCTGAATATAATGAATATAAGCATCTTGAAAATTATTGACTCTCTTTAAACCTATTTAATTATATTTTCTTAACCAATATATGTAAAATAGGAAATTTATATGCAATTTTACAAATATCTGGAAACTTGGTTGGTAGGAATAATGCTTCACCAACCTTTTTCTGTCTTATGTAATCATGTGGATAACTCTGTCTGATATTAAGATATTGTTGATGTAATGACAGTAGTAGACTGTTAGTGGTCCCTTCCTCTTCGCGACGTATGTAAGCTTTCCATACCGTTTCCTTTCAATAAAATGGTGAAGTATTTTGTCTTTAAGACCGTTGAAACATATGTTGTTTGTTGAATTATATTCATACCATCATACAATATGTAGATATAAGTGTTTACTAAAGTAAACGCTAAAGGCAATCATAAATTAATAGACACACAAACATATACAACAACAATGTTGAATATGTAAAATTGGTATCTTACTGCCTTTAGTATCCATTGTATTCTAGCTCGAGAATATAACCCGCCTTCGTGAATTGAAATTCATAAAGAGAACGGATCCTCTCCAATCCTCTCTCCCAAAATTTAGAAATACATTTAAAATGCAATATCTTCAACAATGGAAAGGGAGAGGGCAAATAAAAAGATAGAGAGAGAGAAGCTTCAGTCATCTGAATAAAATAAATATTTAACAGAGAATAGAATGCTATGGCCAGCAAAATATATCGCATAAATTCTATAAAAGAGAAAATTTCACTTTTAATACTCTTTTATAAAAAGAATCATTTTTGGCGTAAATTAAAAAGTGTATCTTGGATATATTAAAAATAAATTTTAAAGAAAAAAAGGGCATCTCTCAAACTAAAAAACAGTCCCCGAGATAAGTAAATAATATGCCTACTAATAAAAAAAAACAACAAAAATTCATTTCTTAGATCTAATAAATTTGTTCTTTATTGATTTTTGACTAAGAGCCAGCTAGGCTAGGTCAGCTTATCCACTTTATTGGGCTCCAAGTGGATTGTTGGCATCTGTTATCCCATTGACTTCCTTTGCCTAATCTTAATCTCGTCCTTTCCTTCCATCCTATCTATTTCATTTCTATCCCGTCCTTTATTTTTTATTCCCATCTTATTCATTTGATTTATATTCCATTCCTTACTTTTCCTTCTCGCTTTATATTTCCCCTACTGACACATCTCTAAACTTCCCTATATCCTTTTCTCTCTTCGCCTAACCCATCCTATTCAATTGATTTCTATTCGTTCCCATACGTTTCCTTCTCTATATATTTCCTCTACTGACACCGTCACTTCACCTAATCTCTTTCTCTCTTGTCCCATCCCATTCAAAGGATTCCAATTTTATCCCTTATCTTTCCTTTTCAATACAAATATACCTTTTCAGACATCATAAACGGCGGTGTTGTCCCATCCCATTCAAGCAATATCTATTCTATCCCCTATCTTTTGTTTTCAATACAGATTTTTCTTTCTGACACCATCCCCGGCTGTGAAAAAAACTCGATCTCTTTAGATCAAATCCCTTTCGTTCTACTTTCATTCCACCTATTCGATTTTTGGACATTCTTTTACAATCCATATTTTTTCATCTGCTACCATTTCCGGCGATTAAATTGATCCTTACATATCAAATCCCTTTAATATCACCTATTTCATTTTTACACATGCTTTCACAATCTATAATATTCTTTATGATAGAATCTCTGAATCTTACACCTTTTTTTCCTTCACAGAGATCTAATTGTTGTGCTATTTCGTTTACACATTTCTAATGTGAGTCTTTACCATTCATTCTCAGTCCATATTTGCTTTTCTGACACCAAGCTTGACGTTTTATTCAAGTTTCTTCAGATTTAATCCCGTTATTTCTTGTCTTATCCTATTCATTTGAATTATTAAATGTATATATCCATCCACTCTCTATATTTTCCTTTTTAATATCATTCAATCCGATAGATTCTTATCACTTCGCTTCTGGGGCCATTATTTCTCGATTTACTCATAGTATTTTCATCCGTCGGTTTTCATCACTTCTCAACATATTACTTTCCTTCGAATATAATACCTTTTAAAACCCTATTTTCTAATATAATTTTTATTCCTATATCCTCATATGATCAGTTTATTTTTTGCCCATTTATTCTAATCATAGTATTTAATTTATAGGCCTATACTCTTTTAAGTGTAAAAATATAAACTACTAAGCATAAAAATCTAACTATACACCATACGATGTTACGATAATCGCACTTATTGACAAAAAAAGTTTCAATTTAAGATGTGATTAATTTGGGGAAACGATTTTTAAAATGATAGTGCTTGACTATGTATTCGAAAATTGTTCTTCTATTTTGGCTTATGGACATTAGGCGCTCGGTCTCCACTTTTGTTATTGATATGATGGATTTATAATTAAAAAAATGAAAATTTTCAATCTTTAAAGGGCAATGTTATAAGAGGACATCTCGGCGAAGAATATAGCGGTCTTATAATTTTTTCGAAATCCATGTTGAACCAACCGAGAATATAGGCACTCCAAGTGTATAAAGAAAAAGTTGTAAAACTTATTGAAACAGCGCGCGAAAATGCAAATTCTAACACGTATTTAATAAAATTGGGAAAATATAATTTATAGGACAAAATAATTTTGGATACGAATCTGGTAGAAATACCATATTTCAGAAGCACGTAAGAAAGCTTAAAACTGAGTTGAAATGTTTACCCAATTGAGAGGCCTCTGGCTTATACTACTTTATGCTCCAAGAAGAAAGGGGGCTGAATAAATATTACTTCTGACAGCAGCCGACTCCATGCATCCCAAGTTAAATTCTCTATTAAAATGCCTGGAACCTATGTGAGGCATCATCAAACAATAGACCTCTTTCTCAAGAAACTAAAGTAATAAGGCAGTGTATTGTCAAATGCTGCTCAAAACAGCAATAGAGTTTACTACTATGTAGGGTTCTGCCCAGACTTTTACCATTTGTAGTACCTACAATGGGGTAATAAAGTCCTACAACTAGTCAATATGAACCTTCTAGTCGGCATGTTGACCACCATTTTCGCAGAACACCTAATCGACGAAGGCTTAACAATCGAGAAAACCCTCTTAAAGTCTTCCCGTTTTGAAAGAGAGATGGGAGGATAATCATCATTCAGCTGTCCTTCTAAGTCCAAGGCAGCGACGTGATTGCGACCTAACGGGCAAGTGGCGAGAGGTGTTCGTGATGTGCTGAACGAAGGCCTAAAGATTCATCGACTTCCGTCGCACCATGACATCAGGGCTGGAGAGGAGACCCATCCGGCATTCTTCTCCCATGGAGTCTGATGTAACAAATTCCACAAGATGGGCCACCGACTGGCAAACCTTTCAAGAATACAAAGATGGTAGAAGAACTTGGGTAATTTAACAGCCTAAAAAAACCCCATTGCGAGATACAACCTTTGTCTATCGTCCCCTTTGTTGCTCTGCTGATACCAACTCAGCTTCCTGGTACCAGACTCTTTTCCTGAAGCACAATCTTTTGTATTATGACTGGGAAGCACCGCAAACTATTATTTAGTACAAAGAAAAGCCTATTGATGAAAATAAAATCCTAAATAAGCAAATTTCCGTGTAGTAAGCGTTGATTATTTATAGATCAAGCCTCAACATAGAAGAGCCATCAGCCGTACAAATCCAAAGCACGTCATTAAAGGTATGATTTGATTCAGAATAATTGAAGGCCTTGGAAACCATTAAGAACTTGAATCATTGCAGCTGGAGAGAGGAATCCTTCTGATCGACTTCCTTCTCGGTGTAAACCTAGATTTTTATCCTTTTGATATCAAATTTGGAGCAGTAGATGGTCATCGACAACTTGGCTACAGTGATAATGGCACTGCGGGGAGAGATTTCGTGTACCTTCTACAAGAAGTTTCCATGAATTATATCTTCTGTCGAGCGACAACAATGATCTTGCTGATTACAACCTTCAACTCTCATTTCTGCAGCAACATTGACTTCGCAGGAGGCTAACGTCTGGACAACGACCCACCGCAGGAAATCCTATGTCGCAAAGTTCCCCTGGCCGCCGAATAGTCTGCCACAAGGTCGTATACTAGTCCCTGTGGCAGAGTATTCGGTGGTCAGGTGACCTTGATATCATCTTCTTCAACGTCCGTCGAGTGGAAACATCAACTGATATGCACCTGGCTCAGATGAACTGCCATGCAAGTAAACCTTCGAGGACTTCTTCTTTGGAGCGCTCCAGCGAGTCCACCAGGCATCGCAGAGATTTGTGGGACTTCGATTTGATTTTAATGGCTGAAATTCATCTCTCTCGTTCTCTAGACTCCAGACTTCAACGGTGTAAATACTGGTTTATTGTAAATACTTCATTTATTGTAAATACTGATGTAAATACTGGGCTTTATGTTATGTTCTGGTGTATAAATACTGCTTTTAATGGTAAATAATGGTTGATTGTAAATACTGGTTTTATTGTAAATACTGTTTTTTTTTGTAAATATTGGTTTATTTGTAAATACTGGGCTTTATGTTATGTTCTGGTGTATAAATACTGCTTTTAATGGCAAATAATGGTTGATTGTAAATACTGGTTTTATTGTAAATACTGTTTTGTTTTTTTGTAAATACTTCATTTATTGTAAATACTTTTTTATGTAAATACTGGGCTTTATGTTATGTTCTGGTGTATAAATACTGCTTTTAATGGTAAATAATGGTTGATTGTAAATACTGGTTTTATTGTAAATACTGTTTTTTTTTGTAAATACTTCATTTATTGTAAATACTTATGTAAATACTGGGCTTTATGTTATATTCTAGTGTAAATACTGCTTTTAATAGTAAATAATAGTTGATTGTAAATACTGGCTTTATTGAAATATTGTTGTTGTTTTTTTTGTAAATACTGGTTTTATTGTAAATACTTTTATTGTAAATGTTTTGTTGTAAATGTTTTGTTGTAAATACTGGTGTAAAACTGGTTTTATGGTATATAATTTTGTAAATACCTTTTTATTGTAGATATTGGTTTAATTTGTAAATGCTGGTTCTATGGGGGGGGGGGGGGGGTAAATACTCTCTGGTGTAAATATTCGTTTTATGGTAAATACTGGTTTCACTATAAATACCGATGTAATGGTAAATACTGGTTTTATGGTAAATATTGGTTTTAAAATAAATAGAGGTTTTATAGAAATTGCTGTTGTAAATACTAGTTTTTTTTATGGTTAGAAATGTAGTACATATACTAGTTTTATGGTACTGGGGTGTGAATACTGTTTTTTGGAAGTAGTGGTATAAATACTGGTTTTATGGTAAATGCTAGTTGAATACACTCCAAAATGCTTTTTTTCAAATATTGACCTGTATATGTCAATGAACTAATTTTTAAATAATTCTCTCTATCACTTTCTTTTATAGGCCTTGTGATTCGAGCATTTGAAAATTATAAATATAACGGCCAATTGATTTAATTGTTTTATAAATATAACAACTACTTCTTTCTCGTTGGTTAGAAAGTCGATCGGAAGGAGCTACAAAAATAAACAAAGCATACCATCTCATGTAAAACTTATTTTGTTATTTGGGATAATGAGACGATCTGAAATTAAACTTATTTTATAATGTTGCGATACCTTTTTTTTTATTTTTACAAAATATACCATTATATTAATTACCACACTCTATAACAAAAATTTCGTCGCACTAAGAAAGAGTTGTCCGACTTATATGAAAATACGTATACAAAGGCGTTTCGACCAAACATGCAAATGGTTGAAATTTGGTAGCCGATTTATGTAAACCAAGAGCTCCAGTGTATCTGAACTACGTATCCAGCACGAGTATTCTAGACTCAATATTCGGCGTGCTGAATTTCGAAATTTCCGTTTAATATTTTGTTGCAGTAAGCCTATTTCTACTGCATCAATGCCTCACCGAAAGATTTGTGCTCATTAACAACATATGTAAGAGTTTGAAAGAGATCGTGCCATTAAATTGAAAGAGGCTGGTTGGTCAAATCGACTAATCGCGCGACACCTGTGTCAGAGTGATGCGTAAATTAGACGATTTTGGTACGAGTGGGTCAACAAAGAAGAATGAAACGTCAGTACGGCAGCGGTCGACCAAGGGACACAACAGAACGGGAGGACAGAGCGATTGTCAGAACGGCTGTCACAGCACCGCATTCGACGTAATCTACCATTCAGCGTATGACCGGCATGCAAGTGTCTAAAATGGCCACCAACAGACGAGAGAGAGGAATCTAAGAGCTCGCCAACCGTTACGGTGTCTGCTCCTCACACCTATACACCAATTAGTTCGAGAGATCAACTTGGAACTGCGCTGACTGGGAACGTATGTCTTTAGTGACGAGTCCCGTTTCTTACTGTCCTAACAAACGTCACAAACGTGGCTGGTGTCTTCCTTGGCAGTGTGTGAATCCTGGCCTTATTTTGGAACACAACACAGGTTCACAACAGGGCGTTATGGTTTACGCTGTCATTTCATTTGATAGTAGGGCCCCATTGATAGGCATCCCTGGCACGCTGACACACAACTGTATGTAGATGACATTTCACGGCCTGTTTTGTTGCCGTTCATCCCCGGCTTACTTTTCAACAAGATAATGCCTGATCACACGGCATGTTTTACTATGGATTGTCTTCAATCTTGCCGAAATCTTCCATGGGAAGCAAAGTCGCCTGATATCTCACCCATAGAGATCATCTGAGACTTGATGGGATGGCGATTGCAACCATTCCGCAATTTTGACTATTTAGTTCGATAGTTGAATACAATTTGGCGTAAGAATCCCGCAGCACACCATTCGGAATATTTTTATCAGTCCATGACACGCCGGGTGGAAGCCTACATCCAGACCAGTCCAACAACATATTGACTTTCTCAATTCGTGACGATCAAACTCTGGAATAAAATAATTAATTGTTCCGAAATTTGAATCGTTTTTCCATATACATGTTCTTCACATACACCAAATGTTGTGCCAATCTCACAACTATTTCTTGTTGCGTCGATTATTTTGTTTTTAAGTATATTTTAATATGCTCTTTATAACTTCTATACAAAAATAAATAAACAGCGCCTTTATCAATTCATAAATAATTATCCTTGGTGCCCAAAGAAACTGAAGGGGAAATTTGTAATTCCTTCGCCCCCGTCTCGAAGCGTTATCAAGAAAACTGTCAAACTGAAGTCATCTAACCAACTAATTAAGATCGGAGGAGATGATGACATAATTATCACGCCGTCAGATCATACTCCTTGTCAAAGTACACAACTTTAGATTAAGAAATAACTTCATATATATATATGTTATATTAAAATATTATTCTATTTAAAATTATATTTCATAGATCCAAATACTCTGTTAAATCGACAGCCAGAGGTCATGCTTCCCCTATAAAAACTCGTTGTTGTTCTTCCCCGATGGCCGGCTCAAATCTTTTGTACATTATGTAAATAAGCTTTTCATTTTTTTATTCTTACGCCTTAAGCCAGGCAGTACTTTTACCAAATTATGTATTTTATATATTCCTTAGCTCAATTAAAGCAACCTTTGATC